ATATAAAGACTGTACCCTCTCAGGCTTCTCTTCCCCTAGACTTAAATTCAGCCCTCCCCCCAACCCCCACCATTCCATGCAAAAAAAATGAGGTTCATGTAAACATGTTCATAAAACATAAGTGCTGTAAATCTAAATTAGAACCACATCTCACGTAACTATTTTGCATAGAGAATTTGTGACTAAAACACTAAACAGGTTTACTCCCCAAGCCTTCACTGAGCACAGCAGCTCTGCTAACCTGTCAAGTCAAGGCCATCCTGGACTCCACCACCACATCCCTCCCAGCCCATTCCTCTCTGCAATAGGACTTAGCTAGACAGTGCAGGGCCCAGAGAGAGTCAGGAGCTGTAAATTTCATTTTCCGCCCTTCATCTCCTCACTCTTTTTGTAACTGCTACCAGTAGCATCAAGCTGGATGAAAAAAAGAATGTGCAGGAAGTTTCCTAGAGATTTCCTAAAGGTGCAATGCAATCTGTAATACATAGGAATACAGCTCTCAGAAGAAGTGCCCTCACAATGTACACCACCGGCTACCCAGTGTGATACAGAGGCACTGGGTGACTCAGCAGCAAAGTTCTGAAAATCAGTTTAGACAAACTACAGGGACCTTTGAAAGAAGCATTCCAAACACTCATAGAATTAAACAGAATTAGTATGTAAAAAAACACTGAAGGAAATTCAATGGGTTTTGATAATAGCTTTAGAGCTAAATAAACTCTGAGAAATAAATTCAGAAAGGTGCCGATTTGTCATGTGAACCTTTTTGCTGAGCTATTTCAGGAATACAGAAAAGGGAACTCACTCCAAAACAGTTACAAAAAAGGAAATTAGCAGCACAGAAAAGCATAGACTACAGAGTTAGGCCAAGATGGATATGCACAACACAATCCCTGCTCATGCTCTAAGCAACATTCAGTGTTACACAGAATCATAGAATCATTTACGTTGGAAAAGACCTTTAAGATCATTGAAATCTTAAATGAAGGGTTCCACTGAGAAAATGTATGATAGTGAAACTATTGAAATAGTGGCCAAAAATTGCTGTCAATAATTAGAAATCTCCAGTAAGTGTTTTAATTGCTCCTATGCAAGTTTACAAAGACATTGCCTAAAGAACAGTCAGGTGCTTTTGAAAATAATTAAAAAAAAAAAAAAGCATAACAAAAAATGCTGGGCAGAAGTTTAAAATATATTAACTAAAATGTTAAAGACATTGCAAAACAGAAAGTCAACACTATCACTCACTCACTATGTTTACAGAAACAAACTTTGGATCCCTTCCAATAGCAGGAAACTCCCAATTCACCCAGAAGAGCAGAGGAGGTAATTTATTTTTCAAGTGCTATCTACACCACTTGAATACTTTTATTTGATCTTTTCTCTCTTATGAAACAACTTCTTCATTCAAAGAAGTTCTGACCTGATTACAATCCTTTATCAATGTTATTTTTTCACAAAGAAAGTGTTAACTATCGTTCTTAGGTGTGATTCAGACAGCATCTGCAGTGCCTTCCTCTACAGAGCAACTAAATAAAGGATTTATACTGTTATTAATAAAAAAAAATTAATAGTTTTCTGGTTTGACATCATCTTAGCTGCAATAATCTGCTGCCAGAAATCAGAGGCAGACACAGCCTACGCCACAGGTAACAGCATCTGCAGACAAGGAAACAAACACCAGTTGCACAGCAAAGTGTCTGTCCTCTGCTGTCTCCTCAGTTACACTCAGTCCCCACTGCAGGGACTGCCTTATTTGGCATAGCTGTGCTGTTATTTCCCAGCTGAACAAAGCACAGTGACATATTACTACCTTAAAACACTGACCCCCTGTTGCTGCCAAATGATTTGAAGTGATGGCCAGAAGGGAGGAACACTGCCTAATGATTAACTAATATAAAATGAATCAATAAAAACCCTGACAAGCCTTATAGCACCTGGGTCGGAGCAATCCCAGGCACAGCTACAGGTTGGGCAGAGAAGAGATTCAGAGCAGGGCTGCAGAGAAGGACTTGGGGCTGTTGGTCGATGAGAAAATAAACATGAGCCAGCTTCAGTGTGTGCTCGCAGCCCAGAAAGCCAACCATATCCTGGGCTGCATCAAAAGGAGCGTGACCAGCAGGTCAAAGGAGGTGATCCTGCCCCTCTACTCTGCTCTCGTAAGACCTCACTTGGAGTATTATGTACAGTTCTGGTGTCCTCAACATAAAAAGGACATGGAACTGTTGGAACAAGTCCAGAGAAGGGCCTCGATGATGATCAGGGAAGTGGAGCACCTCCTGTATGAAGATAGGCTGAGAAAGTTGGGGCTGTTCAGCCTGGAGAAGAGAAGCCTGCGTGGAGACCTCATAGCAGCCTTCCATATCTGAAGGGGGGCTATAGGGATGCTGGGGAGGGACTCTTCATTAGGGACTGTAGTGACAGGACAAGGAGTAAAAAAAAAAAAAAAAAACTTAAACAGGGGAAGTTCAGATTGGATATAAGGAAGAAGATCTTTAAGTAAGAGTGGTGAGGCACTGGAATGGGTTGCCCAGGGAAGTTGTGAATGCTCCATCCCTGGCAGTGTTCAAGGTCAGGTTGGACAGAGCCTTGGGTGACATGGTTTAGTGGGAGGTGTCCCTGCCCATGGCAGGGAGTTGGAACTAGATGATGTTGAGGTCCTCTCCAACACTAACTATTCTATGATTCTATGATTTGAGGTATGATGATGTTTACCAGATACATTTCCTCCAACCAAGATTTGAGAATACACTTTAAGGTGTTAACAATACAGTGTTTGTGTTTCACTTCTACTAGAACATATTTTCATTTTTAGGAAAGAACAATTCTTAATGTGCCAAAGATGCCAACTAATCTTTACAAAAATCTCTGTCTGCAAGTCGAGCCTACTAGCATTTCCCTCTTACAGATAGAAAAGCTGAGGTACAGAAGGCAATGCAAACTACCAGCTATAAATTAGTGCTGGAGCTCAAAATCAAGCCCAGCATCATTGCTTCTATGGACAGCTGTGCCTAGTTTCACCTAGGGGAGGCAATACAGCTCTAAATGAAGTATTTAAAGCCTTTGTACCCTGTCCTTTCCCCAGCACTGCTACTATCACTCAACCAAAAGCAGAGAATATCTCCCAGTATATGCCTGTGCACTGCCAGTGCATGACTGGCACACCTCCAGTCCCATTTCTCTAGAGGAACTGGGGACCACTGGGGAAGAAGGGATCAAGGACATGGGATGGTATGAACTATTCTTACAAAATGTATCTACTCAGGGGCTGCAGAGTGATTCCTGATACAAGCTTTGCTGCCTCTTTAGAGTCAACTTCTACCCATCTCCACTTGCTCACAGGTAAAAGGCAAAGACAACCACAAAAGCACTAAAACCCATTACTGAAATAATATATCAGCACTGGCTAAGGTCCCAATCCAAGAGAAAAAACTTATTCAGTAAAGTATATGTTTAAGTATTACAAAAGTCAGTGTTGGCTGCATGAAGTGATGCCAGTGTTCTGTTTGGAAGGCAGAAGAGGGATACTCATTTAGCTTAATTTTCCTGAAATGAAATCAACTTTTCAGCAATTTGGGCAATGTTGAGTTCAACAGGAATGCTGTCTTCAACTATTTTGCCCTCAGAAATGACTTCATGTGAAAATCTGCCCACAGAGCATTACAGAAGAGACATTTCTCTGTGAAATCTTCTGCCAGACTCTGTAAAGGTTATCCCCAGTTATCAGGATGCATCAAATCCCATGGGAACCAGACACAGGATGTATTTCCCTCATTCCCTACAGTGATACTAAACAACAGCCCTTTGGAGTGCTAAATGCAAGCATTTCGAGATGCTCTCCAGAAGGTTCCTCAACAGCTGACCTGTTACTGCTTTGTATGCATTACTTTTACTTAAGTTATGGAACACTCCTCTTACACCAGAACTTTCAAAATGGATTCTTATTACAGGGTGGTGAGAAAACACAATCAGCAGACCTATCCACAGTAAGACATATCCTGGTTCTTACAGAGGAGGACACAACTGCTGTGCCAGCAGCACAGTGAACAGGCTTCCACATGTTTTGCATTGTAGGGAGAACATCCTATCACAGCTGCACACTTCACAGTACCACAGGAGGGCTGCAACAGACAACCAGACCGCAGTCTTTCACTTGCGGTGCACCTCCAGACTTGATATACAGGTGCATTTTGTCTCTTCCCAGGCAAAAGAGCCTTGCTGGGCCCTCTCATGAAGGAGACACACCCCAAGATCAGCAATGTGGTTCCCACTTGGGGAAAGACCATCCTCCGTGATTACTTTGCGGCACTTGGTAAATTAAAACAGGAACATCCCGAACACCGCCTCTGTCACTCACTGCTTTCTACCTGGCAACTTTATGGTAGTTCTTCTGCTCCTCAAAGATGACTCTACACAGAAACCTGCCCCCGCTCCCAGTGGTGCTTTTACCTCCCAGGGCCCCCCAGCCCGGCCCTGCCCACCTCAAGCCGCAGCGCAGACCACGGCCGGCAAACACCGCGCCCGCACACGCACTAACGGCTCCACGTACAGCCCCGCGCGGCCCCTCACGCCGACCGTTAAACGGCTGCGCCGTGGCCCCACCCCATGCTCCCCAAAACAGCCCGCTCCCGCCTCCCCGCCCCGCCTCCCCTTATTGCCCGCGGGCCGCAGCACCCCTACCCGCCCGCCCCGGCTCCCTGCCAGCAGCAAGCCGGATCTGGGCACCGCGGTAGGCTCTCCCCGCGACCCGGGGTCTGCGAGACCCTACTCTGCCCGGCCCAGGGCGGAGCAGAGAGGCGGGGAGCGGTGCCTAGCCTGGCCCGGCCCATCGCGGCACCGCCCCGCGCGGGGGCTTTGTTACCCCGCATGCAGCATCCTCCGCGGCGGCTGCTATCCCCGCCCGGCCCCCCGCCTCGCGGAGCGCTCGGGAGGCGGCGCGGTGGGGACACCCCGGCGGCAGGCCCGCCCCGCGCGGTGCCCGCCGTCACTGCCGCGGGCGGTTGGGCCGCCGGCGCCTCCCCCGCCGCGGCGGCCTGATGCGGCACCCGGCGCCGCCCCGCCTGGCTTGCGCTCCCGTTTTCCCCGAAACCCCTCCGCCTTGATATCCCCGGGGGCGCGGCAGGGGCGGTGACGCCCTGTGCCCGGTTGCCGGTCATGCGGGGCGCGGCCCCCAGCTGCCCGGCAGCGGGCGGGGGGCGTTGAGACCGGGCGGCAGCGATGCCGGGGGTCGGCGGGGCCGCGGCCGCCGCTAGGCACCCCCAGTCCGGCGAGGCGGCGGCAGCGCCGCGGGACGAGGAGCAGCAGGAGGAGGAGGGCGAGGAGGATCTCCGCGACGGCGGCGTCCCCTTCTTCGTCAACCGCGGCGGGCTGCCTGTGGACGAGCCCACCTGGGAGCGGATGTGGCGGCATGTGGGCAGGATCCACCCCGAGGGGGAGCGGGTGGCGCAGAGGATCCGGGGAGCTGCCGACCTGCCCAAGGTGAGATACCCCGTCCCCACGGAGCTAAGGCGGCATCCAGCTGGGAGGAGCCGGTCGCCTCCCTGTCTCTGAGGCCGGGCCCCCGAGCTCGGAAGCGATCCCTCGGGAAAAGGGCCTCGGGGTGTGCTTGCTGGAAGCAAAGCCTCGCTGTAACTGGGAGTGATTGAGGGTGCTGCGGGGCTCTGCCCTTCCGTGGCGGCCAGCAGTAGCCTCTTCTGAGGTCTCGCTGGAAAACAGATTTCAGGTGGCTCATGTGGTGGATTGTGCTTAAGAGGAAGACTGGATAAATGATGAAAGGATGAGAGAGTTAAATTTAGAAAAGTCCGAACACTTGTGGTGGGAGGGTGAGGGAGATAGGCAGAGGTGAGTCTTTAAACATGGAGAAATTAGATTTGGGTACAGTCTCCCACACTGAAAGCCATTCTTGCACAGAACGGTGTGTCAGAAAAGAGACTCTTGACGCCAGAGAGTTTAAAGGGTTGTTAGTGAACGCTTGCAGAGCTTGTTGCTGGTGTGTAGTCAGATGTGATTTTGAGCGTGTTATTGGCCTTGCAGGAGAACTCTGTGAAAAGAGGGACTGGTGATCATTTCACTTAACCTTGTTCCCTACTGAAATAGTAGCATGTGAATTCTTGTGATTGTTGCTATCTATCTCTGTTGCACCTCAGCTGGAGAAAAATCTCCCCCTTTCCTTGGTATCCTGTGAACAAAAGACACTGCAAACATTCGGTTTGTCACTCCAGTGGTGGGTTAGGAGAGTATTCCCATCACACTATCAGAGGAAACTCAGATGTAAAAACCGTAATTTTTTTATGCTCAGACTGTTTTAGTAAGGACTTTACCTCCCTGGGAAGGTAACTGAAAGTATACAAGAACATGCTTTTATATAGTGCACAGGCACTGCTTTCCAGCAGTAACTGGAGAAACATGTGATGCAACATCTTTCGTGGAGTGAAGAGTTATAGGCACCTGTGGCAGCAACCAGAATGAATCCTGAGTCCTGATTACAGTCCCTGTTCTAACCCTACTGAACTTTTCCTTCCTTTTTAGATTTCCTTCCTCTCGACTTTGTCCTGAGCCTGTGTGAAGGCTGAAAACGTTTCAAATCAGTCAGAACGCACACTACTCAATTTCCTGACCAAATGGGCTGACTTGACGAGGAGAGGCAAAGGAAATGGCAGTAAAAGGTTCACAAACAAAAGCCCAGCACATGAGGAGAGGGAAATACAGTGTTCAGTCTCTGGTTTTGGTCTTAATGTTCTTCCACTGTTCTCACTTTGTAGTCTTGATGCCAAAGGGTTACAGTCAAGGGACATAGGTGGTATAAGCTCTTGCAATAACAGGTGAAATTGGGCTATCCGTTTATTTGGCATCCGCTAGCACCCTGGAACCCAGATATATAAACTACTCGCTGCTCTGCAATTTGGGGTCCCATTCACATGCTTATTGGGCACACAGCTGAGAGGATGCTGGGATGCAGGAAGCAGCAAGGATGGATGGGCTTTGTTTCCCTAGCTCCTCTTCCCCTCTAGGGATGTGTTTTTATCTTTGAGGACTGCTTATATCACCACCTGCCTCCATCAAGTTTCTTTGAATGGCTGATGCAACAGATGAGAATTAGGGCAATGGGTGTACTCTGCAGGATTAGCTCCTTTGAAAAGGCAGGTATGCTCCATGTGCTGGAGGGCGAACAGGCCTTTTTTAGGTGTTGAAAACTGGACAGGGGTTCACCAACTGTGATATTTTTGGCTTTAAACGGTAGCCAGCATTGGGTTTGGGGGGAAATAACTCTCAAAAACAGTTGGCCATAAATAAACTTAATACCATAAAATGACAACTGCAGGAGGCTGTGATCAGACTTCAGATGTTCACAGAGCAGCTGCAGGGGCCATATCTTTCACTGGGGGGTGAGAGCTCAGAGATCTCTTCTGGTTTCTGTTTCCTTCCAGTAGATTTGGGGTGAGTGGGCATCGAGTGAGCCATGCCATGGTGGCAGGACATTGTTGATTGGCCATGCACACTGGGCTTAAGAGCCACCCTCCTGCAGGCTGTTCCTTTTCTAGCAACAGGATGGGGTATTGCTTTGCTTGGAGCTACTGGGACCATCAGATGGGTCCACACTGAAAATACAAACTGATGTGTGCTTGCCTCATTAAGAAATTATGGATTTTAAATGAGGTGGTTATGAGGACAAAGACAGGAGGAGTTGCATCTAATGGATTCATGCTTGAAGAGGGGAGTAAAATCCAGTTTATTTAGTCAGGCTAACAATTGGGATTTGTATTGCTCTTATGTTGCTTGCAAAAGGATGATTGGGGAGGTGCTTGGATACATGTAAACACCATAAAATAAAGTGTTGCTACACTAGGCTAGCCAAAAAATCACCTTTGTCATACAGATAAGGGTGGAGCTTTTTCTGTGCCTTGCTCCCATCTGCCTTGCCACATATATAGCATGGCCCTCTGTTGTTCTCAGGATCCCCTTTCTTAAAACGCAGTCCCAGTCCCACGCATATAGCCAGTCTCCTGGGGTGCATAAATCTAGGAGCGGCATGATGCAAGCCCTCCATACAAGTGATGAGGGACCACAGGCATGTTCAGTCAGTTTGCTAAGCCTGGCAGAGGTATGCACTCTGGGAAATCTGGGCTCTCTTCCTAGCTGCCCCTCCAGCTTCCTGAATAACTAAAAGGGAAACAAAATAGATCTGACTTCTTATCTTTTCTTCTACAAATAAATTCCTCCCTGCTTTCTGGAGGATTGTGAAGACTGCCTAGTATTTATAGCCCTTCTGAAATGTGGATACTGCATAAGGACAAAATGTTAGGGTCTTCCATCCTGTCAGTGTGGGGATGGAGACCTTATTTCTCTCCTCCTGTTTCTATTGCCCCATTAAAATGCTATAGACCTGATGCAAAAGAAACTGTAGCCCAGTCTGGGCTGCAGGCCCAGATCCCAGAGAGAGGGAGCACACTGTACTTCCATCAGTTTAATTACTTGAGGTGCAGGATGCTCTTCTGCATTAACTAGTCCCCTGCTGAACTGGTTGCCATTCCACTGTCCAGCGTGGCACTGCCCTTTGAGGAAAAGGGGATATGGGGGTCTGCACAACTAGTAAAGGGAGGAGTATCTATCCAGTCATTAATCTGTGCCATCAATGTGCACTTAACCTGCCAGTCTCCACTCAGAAAGCATGGAAGTGTCTGTGCTGAAGAAATGGAGCCAAGTTAAATAGTGAGCCTCTCCTGCTTGTTACCTCTTTCATTGTTTCTGCTTGGAAATTATTTCCTGTGACTCTGTGTCAGCTCACAGCATCCAAACTGACTCAGCTCGTGTGGTTCCAGAGATGCCTCCATCCGTGATCTGCCCTCTGGAGCCTTCCCTGCTCCTGCTGTGGCTGAAGAAACCCAGTTTCACATCTGCTCCTGCCGTTCATGTGTTGTTTCCTGCAAGTGAGCCAGGAAGTGCCACTGCTTGCTCCAAACAGGGTATATCAATGAGGCACTGGAGATGGTAACTGGCACACCTCCAAGAGGTACTATGAAAATGGGTACCAGTGGCCAAATGATGCTACTTAAATTAAAAAAAAAAATAAAATAAAAAAAAAAAGAGACTGATGAAAAAACATGGAGAGAAAATGGGTGGAGATTGAGTTTAGTTCAGCATTTACTTGATGGTGGTGTTTGGAGCTAGGCTTAAAAACACAGATTATGGTTTTCAGAGGCAGCAACAGCCCATCTCTCCAGGTTAAGAAGTCTCTGGCCTCTGTACTGTGCAGGCAAAAGCAGAGCACAACCATGTGGCAAACCAGGAGAGGGAAGTGATCTGACTGAAAACTACCCATGCTTGCTGGCTCAGCTTTCAGCTGGTTGAGGTCTGGACCTGGTTCACCAGTCACCTATGCCAACCCAGAGCAAGAAGGAGGTATGGAAATGAGTGGCCACAGAAATACAGGTGGAGGGTGAGAAGTGGCTACAAAGCCATGGTCAGCAGAGGCAGTTACAGCGGAACAGAAAGCCCAAGGGAAGATCTGGTTCTGACTAGCTCTTTCCTAGTTGGGGATAGCCCATCTTTAGGGGGAAATCTGAAGAGGAACTGAAATGCTGAAAACCAAACTGCTGGGAAAACCTGCAGTCTGGTATCAGGGAGGTATGTCCAAGGCATAAGCTAACCTTCAGAGACAAAATGCTAGGCTGTTTCTCCAAGTCTGTCAATCAACACCAAATCTGTGTCTTCTCCATTGTATTTGTCCTGTGGACAGGACACTTGTCTTCCCTTAGATACATTTTCTCAGCTGCTGACAAGGCTGCAGTTGTCCCTGTGGAGCAGATGGTGAGGAAAATCTGACTGGACCCATAAGGCTGAGGCCTCAGAATGGCACAGCAGTCCAAATCGTGAGCTTTTGGAAGTCATTCTCTGACCACATAATTCAAAACAACAGACACTGCAGGGCAGATTCATGATGCTGTCAAGCCTGTGTCCTAGTCAGTGCCAACTCACCGGCAGTGAGGGACCTTTATATCCTTGCTTACAAGACTGCTCTATGATCCAGTGGCTTTGGGAAAACTCATTCTCCATTTTTACCTCCCTCTCTCATCTTACTTTTGTTTTGTGCCTTCCAGTTTGCATATTTGAATGAGGCCAGGCTCCTTCGGGTGATAACTTCCCTGTCTTGCATCTTGCCTTGTCAGTTAATTTTATCCCATTCTTCCAATGTAGTGTTGCCTAAATGCAGGACTCTTTCACACAGTTTCTCTTGCAGCTCTGTGGTGGTGCTTCATTCTGAATCCCTTTCCAGTTGTCAATGTGGAAACAGTGGAATGTTCTGGTGCAATCACTTCGGACAGCAAAAAGAGGCTGGTTTCAGAGAACACACTCCCTGTAGTTATCTGCCACTGAGTTCAGCAAGAAGCTAGAGAGGTTAGGAAGCAGTGATTTACATTTTGCTCCCCATTTCAGATTCCCATACCAAGTGTGCCTACGTTCCAGCCGTCCACCCCCATCCCTGAGCGCCTGGAAGCTGTACAGCGCTACATCAGGGAGCTTCAGTATCCTTTACTGTTATGTTAGTCACTGGTGTGATAACCCAGAAAGAGGGAGCAGAAGAGCTTGTTCTGATGTAGTTGGAGGAGAACTGAAACTTGCTCCCTGAAAAAAGGAAGCTGGGCTTGGGATGGTGGTTTGTTTAACTGCTTTGGGTCTGCCCAAGTTATTTTCTAATCCTGTTCACTCCATGTGACAAACAGGCATGTTGTCAAGGGCCTTTTCCTACTCCCCATGCTTCTAGGTCAGTGGCCATTTTGTTAGAAACACTCACACCTGCAACCCTGACAGCCAAGTCTTAGACTACAAACTGCGTCACCTCACTGGTAAGGTATAGGTGAGCTGTGGTGTTAAGAATAACTGCTTCTCAGGTCATCCCACTTGAACACTCTTCACTGTAGCTGTTTAAAGGTTAGACAGCTGCCCTGCTTTTGTGCATCTGTGGTATTCTGCCCCTTCATATGCAAAGCTGCCGGTGTCACTGTGTCCTGGGAATAAGATTTATCCATCCCTATTGTGCTGGACAGCAGGTATGTGTGATGCATGCACAGTCTAATCTCACTGATGAGATACAGAGCTAGCTCTGGCTTCAGCCCTAAAAAAAATAGTAAGGAGGCAGACCTTTTGACACCTCTCACCCATCTAAGGTGATTGTGTGCTGGATTGGATCCTTGTCAGTCTTAGAATAAGGTAGACCAGAGCAGGCAGAGATCTATCTAACTATGTTCTGTCCTAGTAACTGGAAGGCTGAGCAGAGCATTTGCTGTCAGCACTGAACTTTGGGAAATGGAGTGGAAATGTGTGTGTGGGCAAGAGAAAGAGAAGAATTGACAAGAAGGAAATACAGTGGAAGTTAGGAAGGACTATAAAAGGGAGAAATGCATGAGAGGGAGATGGGGTCTTTCTCGTGTTGCTCTTATATTTGTGGGATCATGACTTTGCTGTGAGAATAGTAAGTAACATGAAAGTTCTTCAGACAGGTTTTCTTCAAACTCTGTTTTCCAAGCTGTCAAGCCTTTAACTTCTTGCCTCCAGGTACAATCACACTGGGACACAATTCTTTGAGATTAAGAAGAGCAGACCTCTGACTGGGTAAGCACTGGCAGTCCCTACAGCATTTAATCCTTGCTTTACAATATTGGGGCCCACTGCTTTTCCTTCCATTCCCTGATCAAGGTCAGGGTGGCTCTTAGGGCTTTCAGTACTGCAGCTCCATCCTGCTTTAGGTGACTGTATTGTCTGTTGCCTGGGGCATGGCTGGGCAGAACTGTGTCTGGCCTTTCTCAGGGACAAGAGTAGATTTTATTCTCGTGAGTCAGTAAATCAAATAACGTATTTCCAGGTGTGCAGATTCTGCTTGTTTCTAACTATATGAGCTATATATAGAAGATATAACTATATAAACTTCTGATGGATTCTGAAATTAGGTCCTGCCCTAAACAAGCTTCATAAAAGCCAAGTATCTTTACAGGTCTAATTTCATAGCTCCTGTGAGTGCCTTTGCAGAATCTACTCTTACTAAGCTTTGATGTCTCATACTTTGAAGGAGAAGGGGGATTCTCCTGACAGCAAATTTTGGGAAGAGCTGTGCTCTGTAAGTTAAGGAGATAAGCACCTGATGTTAATTGACTCTCCTGCCCTGCATACTGAAAGCCTCCCAAGACTGGCTTCTTACCACTGGTCTCGTCCACAGACTTACGTGACCCTAGATGTCCTGTGTTTTAACCAGTGCAATGGCTCCTCCACAGTATTTGTTGAATGGAGAGTAGAGTTGATGCCAGAGAATAGGGCTTTACTGTCCTTGAACCTTGTGAGGCAAACACTGCTGGCCTTTGGTCCTTTGAGGCTTCTGCTTGTGGCCACACAGGTGTCCATCCAGAACTCACTGAGCCAAGTGCTGTGGTCTCACTCAAACAGAGGTAGGCCAAGTAGGCAGCTTTGCTGTAACTTACTCAAGTTCCTTGTGAGCAGCAACAGCATGTGGTAGAGACCTGGTTTGGATTTAGTATCTTCTTAAAGAAGATACTTTCTTCTGTTCCCTGTCCTCAGTGGGCCTTCTCTGCTGGAAACCTACTTCACATATATTGTGCAAAAGGGCTAAACTAGCCACATTTGCATAGCACAAGCCCTCTGACTGTCCTTGTCTTTCCCCTGTTCCACTTTGCAGGCTGATGGACCTGGCCAAAGAAATGACCAAAGAGGCCCTGCCAATAAAATGCCTGGAAGCTGTGATCCTGGGAATGTATCCTTTCCTCGTGGAATTGTGCATGTCTGTCCATCTTTGTGTTTTCTCCTCTGTTCCCTTATGATGCTTTCAGGCTGCTGACAATATTGCTGCCAAGCCCCACATCCCTGTGTTTTCCCTACCCAGTTCTCCCAGAAAACCACCAAAAAAATCCAAATCCAAGCAATTCTCTGAAATACCAGAACTAGTTCTTCGAAGTTGCTCTTCCTTCACCAAGAAGGCTGATGCTGCTCTGGACAATTCTGTATGTGAGAAAAAGATAAAGGAAGAATCTAAGGAACATCTAAAGAGGGGCAAAAATACTAGCTAAAGTTAGGTCAGGAAGTCCTTTGTGGACTAACATTGTTCCCTTACTGCAATGTTGCCTGCATGTGTTCTACATTTAAAAAGTTAGCAATCCTCCACAACTTCTAATTATGATGTATGTCACTTTCCTATTATGTCGAACACTGCCTGCCAGCTTAGGCAATACCTTTATTAATTCTAGACATGTCATCTCTAAGTACACATCTTTCCTCGCTATCTTCCAGGCTTAGTCTATGTCACTCAGGCTGTAAGTTCTCGATGCACATTGACAAAGCCACCTGGAATGGCACAGGTGGCAAGCAAATGGTTCAGAAGGGTAGTCTGATAAGTATTTTGTCCTTAAGGTCCTTGGTTTGTGTGTGAAATAGCAGCTAGTGAAACAGATTAAAACAATCTGAGGAATAATGCTACAGCATTATTATTACAGCATTATTATTACAGTTTGGGAGCTATGGAATACATATGCTTGAGGTGTTAGCACTTTAACTTCTGCTTCACAAATATGCCTTGAAATTAACTTCCCTTTGTTGAAGGTTTTGTTGAGGAGGCCAAGTCTGATTTCCCTGTGACCCAGATGAAAGTGGGGCAGCTTGCAATAGGTTGGACCTTTGACCCGGAGAACAAATCTTGCCCATCTGATGCCTGAATCGGTGGCAAGTCTGCTGAGCAGGCTGGGAGGATCTGGAGGAGGAAGGAAGTATCTTGTCAAGAAAATGGTATCACTAGTTGTTTCCTCAATAGCGGCTGCTGTCAGTTACCTCACCAACAACATGACCACGCTGGACCGTTTCCCCATTAGCTTCAAAACCCACTTCTCAGGGAACTACTTCCGACACATTGTGCTGGGGGTGAACTTCGGAGGCCGCTATGGGGCACTGGGCATCAGCCGACGTGAGGAGCTCATGTACAAAGCACCTGTCTTCCGCACACTGAGTGAACTCATCTTTGACTTTGAGGAGGCATATCGCCGCTGCTGGCACACTCTCAAAAAGGTGAAACTGGGCCACTGTGTGTCCCATGACCCACACAGTGTGGAGCAGATTGAGTGGAAGCATTCCATCTTGGATCTAGACAAGCTAACCCGGGAAGACTTCCGCAAAGAGCTTGAGAGACATGCCCGTGATATGAGGCTGAAGGTAAGCAGCAAGGATGGAGAAGCAGTTTGCTGCTGCATCTGCTGTCTTGCCTAGCTGATGGTGTACTGCGGGAATGAAGTAGTAACCATGACACTCTCCTAATGGTGCTCAAGGGTGAATTGGAGGCTGAGGACTCCGGTATACAGGCTGGTTCCCTAATGGATGATCATGCAGTACTGCAGTTGTAATTAGCTTGGACTGTATACAGTACTTGAAGACATAGCTGTCGCTATTAGTAATTTTTTTCTGGCTTTTGCATTTTTTTATGTGCTTGCCTTGCCTTTTTGTCTTTAATTCCCATATAATTAATCACTGTTAGGCTTTGTGTTTTCTGGTTACTACTCATATTGGTTGTCTGCTCACGTTGCTCTTACTTTTTCTGGCAGATTGGCAAAGGAACTGGGCCACCATCTCCCACCAAGGACAGAAAGAAAGATGTCTCCTCCCCACAAAGAGGTCAGGCTAGCCCCCATAGGCGCAACAGCCGTGGGGACCGTCGGTGAGTGCAGCTGCTGGGCAGGAAACCCATATAGAGCATCTCCATTTTAGTCACAGACCTACACATTGCTGTCAGGTTTTGGATCCTTCTAATGTCTTACTGGGGTTCTTCATAACAGGCGCTACTTATCTGACCTGCAATAGCATTCTTCCCTAGTCTGTGCCTTTATGAGTATACCATTGACTGGGGAGTGGGGAAACAGCTAGGGTTTGTTTGTTTGTTTGTTTTGGCAGGGAGGAGGAAGGCAGCTGAAACAGACAGTGATCTTGATAGCAGTTATTTAACCTTATGCAGGGGTCTGAGCTCTGGCATTTCATAGACCTGTGCCCTAAAGAAAGAGATTCCAATAATTACACTGCTGTCAGTGAGACTGCTTTCCTGAAACTGATATGGGGCACCAGACTGGGCTTCCTCCTCTTCCTAAGCTGAATTATCTTCTGTGGAGATCACTGGGAGAGTTACTGGAGGTTGTAGAATAATCCTGCCCTCAGTACTGTAGGATAAGTCTGAAGCTTTCCTGTACCTTTTCATGTGCTGCCATGTCTATGTGCAGCACCTCCTGAACAGAAAAAAGTTTCAGAATAGCACTTACCCTCTCTGCTTACAGGCCATCTGGTGAGAAGAAGCCTGCTGATTCCAAAGCCATGCCAGACCTCAATGGGTACCAGATCCGGGTGTGAAAAGAGCTGTGCCTAGCTCCAGAGATTTCTTGCTGGCCAGAACTGAGACCTGGATACACCGGCAGTGATTCTGACAAAGGAGACAAGGGAGTGGGAGCAGAACAGAGTGCCGATCTTCCCACGTACTTCCTAGTGGGCCAGTCCCAGAGCTGGATCCCATGGGTCCCAGAGGATTCACCTGCCTGTTTCTGGGAGAGGTGTCCATCTTAATTCACTGAAACAAGTATTTTTACAAAAAAGGGGAAAAAACAAAAAAAAAAGATGTGAATGTTGGTGGGAGTTTGCTGCAGGAAGACATGGAGTGAGTGGGGTCAGCAGATTCACTATCAATTTATTTCTGTTGACAGCAAGTAAGTGAAGCATTTTGTTGACAGCACTTCTTCCCTGTCTGCACAGAAGCCTTCAACCCATGCAAGACCTGCACAGCTGAGGCTGGATGTGATGCTGGAATGGGATGGCCGCCATCACATTCTGTATCTTGTGCAGAAACTCCTTGTTTTGCCATTATGAACACTTTGTTTAACATTGCTCTTGTAAGAGAGGGCTGAATTTGCTCAGTCTCATTTATTGATCATACAAAGACTTTTCATCTGCAGAAACCACATCTTGTGTGTTTAGTCCTGCCTATTTCAAAGTATTTCATTGTCTCTAAGGGAGTAAACAGTGGGATGATGATTTTCTTTACCCACTGTGATGCTGGTGAACTGTTGCTCTAAGTCCTTTTGTTGTTGAGTGGGTCATCAGCAATGATGATGTGCCTACGCCATTGCCATATGAAAACAGGCACAGAGACCTCATTTGACCAGGCAGGGGCTGGAGGGAAGCCTGAACTTTGAGACCGCCCTTCATGAGCCTTCTCTCTCTAGTTACTGCTACTGTGAAAGCTTGCAGAAGGTGCTTCAGTCACTGAGGTACAGGTTTTAAGAGTAAATAGTTAAAGAGGGGTTTAATGATGTGAACAGGTTTTACAAGCATTTTTCTTTTCCACAAGATCCTTGCTCCTTCCTCACTGTAGTGTTAGTGCTGGAGTTACAGACGCATGCTTGCTGATTGGAAGCCCTGCTCAAGGAGATTGCAGCTGCCTTCCTAACGGCTCAGCCCAGAGCCTCCTAGGAAAGTAGTTCCCCACCATAAGCCCAGAGCTTTGCTTCTGTTCTGGTTCTTTGGATAGCTGCAGTATTTAACAGCACCACCTAGGCCAGCGTTCCCCAAAGGGCTTGGGCCTTTCTGCCTGCTTTCAGCTTTGACTTTTCCTACGCTCCTTTCCAATAGAGTGTTGTACTACTGATTAAGCAGTGTATTGCTTGTCAGAAATCTGGAGTGTTGTCAGATATTGCTTTGAGGCCTAGAAACAGCGAAGTTGCCACAGGTCAGAACAGCATGGCCTTGAAGTGATCTGGATGTGTGGATCTAGGGGAAGTAAAAACTGAGCTTGGAAGTGCGAGTATCCTCAAGAGAAGCTGAGTTTTGTTTTACGACAGCACTGACAAGGAGATAAACTTTCAGAAATACTACATGTTTAATTTAGTTAGAACTGGGTTTATTCTTTCATGTGAAGTTGTTAGAAACATGATGGAGCTTAGCTCTACTGGGTTTTTTTTGTTGCAGTATTGCTGTGCTACACATTTGTATAAGCAGTGCTATTTTGGTGGCAGAGAATGGGTTCTTATCCCCAAACAAATCAGCTCTTCTGTCACATTAAAGCAGTGTTAATCCCTGAAGCACCACCCACAAGTGATTTAACTCAGGCCTCACAAGTTCCTAATTGTACATCCTTAACTGTGACGTAACGTGTAAGGTGCTATATCCATACCAGTGCAGTCTGTCCTTCCAAGCTCTCTTTGTAGCCTGTACTATTTGCTATGCTGTACAACCAGGAGGACGATCCACAGGGAGGTGGCAGAACTTGCTGATGACCCAAGACAAGATTAGTCCAGAAACGGATGCCGATTTCCACAGTGCAGTGCAACACCTGTCCTCTCCCTTGCACTTCAGCTATGTGCAACAATCTGAAATTACACACAGCAGTAGCAAGCCAAGCACCCGATTGTGTCCTCTAGTCAATTTTGTATGGCTGTAAATTAACACGTTTAGTGTCTGGATGCTAATGATGATGTTAGCTGTAAAGGTACCACTGTTACCTGTAAATATTATACATTACTTGAAAGCCACAAACTGCCTTTGCATAGTTTGCTATGCAGTGGACTGAAAGTTCAGGTGCCACTGTGAATCATATGATAAATACTTGCAGCAGTCATCAAGAGAGACTGACTGTCAGGTTTTATTAAAGTGGATTAAATCCAAGAAAAAGACATTATAAAACACATTTAGATAAAACTAGGATGCATCCTCACCATGACTTTGGTTGTTTGGTTGGTCAGTTAATTCAGGGTTAACTGTGAGCTCTTGAAAGTAATTAGTGGCCTCATACAGAGCACATTCAATAGCTGGACAGAACTGAGCCTTTTTAGATGGAAAGGAGGGGAAATGTGTTGAGGGGAAGAAGACCTCAAAATAGATGGGGCAAGTGAGAGGTCAGCTGCAAGCTAATGATGCATTCTTGAGAGCAGGGCAAAAGGGGTGCTCAGCAGTGTTATATCACCAGGGCAGAATGGCTTAAAACAAAATGTTTTGTTTGACCTGGTAATTAAGTGCTTTCCTGCAGGATGTAACTGAGGCCAATAGCTTAGAAAATCAAAGGAAGTGGATGTTTAAAGAATGAATGACAGGTGGAGTTCAAGGTCTCCTAATCCTCAGATGTAGCCAGAGGACAATATACTCTTTCAAGATTTAGTTGCACAATTATGTACGTTAGGAGGCATTTAATTCTTCATTTGTATCTAATGTTGATGACTTCTCAAGATGGATGCAGGAGTAGACATACGCTCTCTACTAGGATTGTTATTTCAAGCCTTCTACTATGTTTCTCTGCGTGGTAGAATTCCTGCCCCTTACTGTTTCTGTATCTCCAGTTTAGCAGATGGTGCTTAAAAAAATGGAGAACGACCAAACCATTCTCCCCTTCTTGCTCTTGCTACTCCCATCTTTGTAACAAGATGCATCACTTCAATACAAAGCTTAGCTTTCTTGCTAACAACATGAGAGCATCTCCCTGTGACAGAAAGGATTAGTGCAATACAGTTTTATGCAGTAAGAAACCTAAGGGTATAATGAAAAATTAACTTCTGCACTTCCACTTCTTTCCTCCCTTATCCACCTGCTCTGGCTTCTGGTCTGTCTGCCTTTAACCATAAGGAAAAAGAGGCTGGAGATGAGTCTTTTTCACTTTTGCAGTCTTTAGAGATACAGAGAAGGAATGAAAACGAGGAACTAGACTGTAATTCAGGTCCTGCAGAACAAAAAAAAAAGGATCTTGAGGAGTTCTCCTATTTAATGTTAAATATGATCGCACGTGTAGCTCTGGGGCATAGATTTCACTGAGCAGTAAGTAGGTCTCATTTGATGTCTGTTCTACAGTACAGGTCCTTCTGAACTCTGTGGAAAGCAACTGCATCCATATACTAGGAATGGACAGACACTGCCTATGTCATATGCCAAGTTGGAGTGAGCTTTGAAAGACTTGGAACAAATGCTGACCTACTACTAGCAAAACTATTTTTAATATAATGCAAACCTTGAAAGAAGAGTTTTTCTTTGTACTTTTATGTAGGCAAGTCCCTTTACTCTTGGCCAACTGCAGTTTTTTAATGGACGAATGGGTTAGTGAGCGAAACTTTCTGCTACAGTGTCACTGATATAAACTTCATATACTAAAGAGTAGGGTTGAGTGTCCATCAGACTGTGACACTAGCCTTTTTTTTTTTTTAACTGTGATATGATAAACTAAATGAGTCTTTAGGAACTTAAGGTACGTTAGCAAGTGTTTAGTGGAAGTGGAGTGCTTTTTTTTTTTCAGGTGAGTGTTTTACTTGTATGGCACTGTATAGGTCAGTATAGTATCCTTGGATCTACCAGAATAAATGACTCCAAAACTGTGGTTGGAACATAGTTTCTATTCATGCAGTAGTTGTACCACTGTTACCAGATCTGTTTAACATGAAGAATTTTTGTTTTAGTATTTCAGGTGAAAGCCTTAATCAGATGCCTGCCCTTTAAGGTAGGCTCACATGTGGTGTTGTATAGATTGAAACATGACTGTCCTTAAAATTGCAGAGTTTAAGAAACCACAGTGAACAGAAGAATGCTCCTGTTGCCAAAAGTCTGGATTAGATGGGCTTGACCTTGCACCAGAGGCTTGGGTGGTTGCTTTTAGCCACTTCTCCTTCTAAGTGAAGTTCTTGACATGGTCCTGATGATCAGGCACTAGATAGAAGCAGAAGGTGCCCTGTGTCCTATGCGTACTGTGTGTGCAAGTCTAGCTGAAGTAACTCCATACATTCCAGTGGTCTTGCACTGTCATCATGTCAACATTAAGACCCACATTATGAATTTATAACTTAAATGTATCACAACCATTCTCCTTCAGTGATGCCCTGGCCCTGTCTGCTCAGGAGCAACTCAACTTTGGCCCAGAAGGCTACGGAATCCCCAATAATCTCTGCCAAGCAGAGTTTCCCTCCAGGTCAGGGTTGAGATGGTGCTAGTGGGACCAGAGTGGTCCACTTCCGTGCACATCAGTATTCTACTCTAGCACTGATAGGGTGCTCCAAAAACATTTACATCTTTATCATTGGTACAGCTCAGAACTAAGAAATGGCAGGTTTCTTTCTTTAAGAACAATATCCTGTGTGTCTTTTTGTAATTAATCAGTGAGGTTCTGTGTTCCTATGTAGCCAACACAGAACTTGTACTTAGATTTAGTTCTTACTGCACTTCCCATAGCCCTCATGTTGATACTTCTTCCTGCTTCCTTTGACACTTAGAAAATAAAATTCCCTCTGTACTGCTCTCAGCTTGTGCAGGGAAAACAATATGTCTGTACTGTCTTTATTTCCAATTTAAACTTTCCTGTTATAAGTCAGCTGAGAAGTCAAAGGCAAGCCTTGAGTGATGGTATCAGACAGATTATGTATAGATGCCCTGTACTTGCAACACTATGGACATGGAAGAGCACTCATTCTCTTTCTGTTATCTGAACAGGTATGTCTGTACACACAGAGGCAGCTGCCAGAGTGTTAAGAAGTATGTATGTGGCTGTGTACCAAAGGCTAAAACTCATCTTTTCCTTTTCAACTACCATCAGTCAGGTTGGACAGAAAATAAAAGTCAGTGGATGCAGCAATAGGAACTTCAGTGTTGAAATAATGCTGTAAGGATTAACACAAGCCTCTGCTTGCACGGCTGTACTCTTCAATATATGATTAGTTTCCCTCCCTGGCCTGAAAAGCAATTCTGCTTCAGGTCTCTAGTTTAGTGACCTTCCAGACTAATGACCCCACCAGGACTTCTCAAGACAAATGCTGGGTTAATAAAGGACAGTCAGCTGCAAGATTCAGTGCATTCCGGGCAAGGGGGATCCAACTTTATTCAGGCTATCATCTTTCAGCCCTTCTCTCTAGGGAAATGAGTAACAGCTGGGACCAGGGCCAGGATGTAGGCAAGCCTACAGCATGTAGGGGAAAGGAATAAACATCCCCTACTCTGTTACTCCAAAAATAATGGCACATGCAATAGTCCCTCTTAGCTAAGTTAATTATATGAACAAATTCTGCCTTGAGGGGAATTAATTGCACAGCACCTCCTGGGTGGTGTGAAGACACAAAAGAAGAGAGGTGCCCTTTCATAAGCCGACATGGCCTGTGCTCAGAGCCAGGAGTTGACAGTAAGACTTCTGCAACACTCAAAGGCTTCTTGCTCCCTTATTAAATACTTAATAACATTAGCAAAAAAGGACTAAAATGCTGTGACTTCTATAAACCTCTACTTCGGATGCTTGCCTGAAAATACCTTCTATCCCATGTCTTACAGATTTTGCTAAAAATCAGGTAACTCCTAAATCCCCTATAGATGTACAGATCACAGTGACTGCTAGACAGTGGTGTGAGAACAGCAGAACAATGACTTGCCCACAGCTCAGACTAAAAATAACACTTTCTGCTCCCTCTTAGATCAGGCTTTTTCCCTGCTACTGAGAGCCTGCAGTTCTAGGTTTTTAAGTCAGTCAGAGATTGCGCTACTTGGACCTTAGTGAGAAACCTTTATTGTGGAAAGGATACACAATTCAGTGAAGCAGTAAGAAAAAGAAAACAACCCAGCCAGCTACTACACTGAGAAGCCCACAGCTGCAAAACTTCACTCTCTCACACACCTAAAAGCATATAAAAATCCATTTACAAGAGAGCGAGACTGAGCCTTAAGAGCAGCATTCACGCAGGGACTGCAGGACTATAGAAGGCAAAGGCATATGATGTGCTATGAAATGCAGACCATTACAGAATTCAGTTAACTCAGTTAAGCTGGCTTTCCTGGATTACATTTTTATTTTGGCAAAGAGTGACTGCCATCCTACCTCCAACCTCACTCTGTGGGAAGGAGGGAGGGAGGGAGGGAGGGAGGGAGGGGAGGGGAGGGATAAGCTTTAGAATAACTACTGCACCCATCTACCTCCAGGTCAGGAGGACTCCTGAAAGTGGCCAATAAGTGAATAAACTTAAGATTGCTATAGAAAGCTTTCCACCCATCCTGAAAAGACTAAAAAACTAAATGACATTGCTAAAACTTGAAGTCTTTTTTTGTGTATAGAAGGAAAGACTGGATGGAATAAATACATCTTTTGTTGTTGCACATACCAGCGTCTAGTCCTTCTCCCATTTGCCACCTCAGCACCTTGAAAGCTGCTGTTTGTCTAACCAAAGTTAGGAAAAAAATTCCAGCCCTACTATACAGCATTCCTATCCCCTTAGAGCACAAGAATGTGCACTCTGGATCTCAAATAAAAGGAAAAAGAGCTTCAAGACTGATATTCAAGAATGAATGATATTTTCAGTGGAAGTTGGAGGATAACTTGCTTTGACAGAAGCTAAAGTTGTACAGCTGACGAAAGGAAAGAGCTTGAGGCATGCCAAATGTTAAATCAGACATCCTAGTTATCATAGCAGGTGAGTTCTTTACAGAAACTCAGATTTTTGAATACTTCATACTTTGAAACACAATGCAGTATATTCAGTTGCAGTGATTATGCAGCTTGTGCACTTCAGTGTGATGGTGCTATGGAAAGCACTATAGGCTGGGCAGCTGCAGTCTGGTAAGGCCCAGGTCTTAGCCAGCAAGTCTATTAACTTGCACAACAGGAAGCCTACTTGTAAGGCAATGGTATCCCACTAAGGCTTGCACACCCTTCTTTCGGGTAAGCACAAAAGTCTTCATCTACATTTGGATGAACTATGGATACAGCCCGCAAACCCCCAACAGTACTTTCAATAAATGTTCATTAGTGAGTTGGCAATAGGAGGAGAAATTGCACTGCAGCAACAGCCTGATTTGCAAACTGTTTGCAAACACCACTTAAATATTATTAGGAGCAGGACACATGCTTTAATCTGCTCTTAAAAGAGATTCTTTCTGAGATACTCAACTTAGAGCCGCCAGGAGACTTCTCAGTGAAAAGAAACTAAGGTCAAGTATATTTCAGAGTTCTGTGCTTCACAAAGCAGGTGGTATACATGGCGCTACCGAAACTGAAACTTTGTTTCATGTAACAAGTTATTCTCATCCTAAGTGTGGGTTCAGAGCTCCCACCCCTCCCACTTAATGCTTCAGGGCTGAGGGAAACCACTATCTTACGATTTGACAGTGTTTAAATGTTAAACTTATAATAAGACTGATCTGTAAATAATCCCACTCATAGCTTTTAATTGAAGAAATATGGCTGCAGAAAAAAATAAACATCAGTAACTCAGCAAGATAACCGGGTACCGCAGTTATGGGAGAACAGCTGCTGGAGAGATACCTTGTAAGAAAAAAGATGGATAAGGAAGACCTTGAGGAGCAGTCAAGTTTAATTTAAGAAAAGGGCAGAAACTAGAGCAATTATATTGTTTACCACTCCTCCCACCCCATGCAATTGGGAAAACTGATTATAAAGTGCAACATCCTGAAGTGATAAACTTAAAACTCTGAGAAAGTGAAATAAGTCAAATAAGTGTTTGCCTCTACAGCTGCATACCTGCAGCTTAGGAAACTGGTAACAGGGCATGTATACACACTGCTATACACTCTGGCATCCCTTCCGCTAAGTGCCAGTCTCCCTGAGGTCTACATCACTACTACCTCTATGACACCTTCTCTTTCTGAGTATAGCAGGTATTCCTATCACAATCCCTATCATTTACAGATCCCTCTGTAATTCATCAGAAAGCTGTGCTAATGCCAACTAGTCGCACATTTAAGTCAGGAAACAGTATTAAGAGCTACATCGGAAATCTTAGTTATGTGTCCCACCATGAGTTACTCATTACCGCAGCCTCTTATTGTATCAGTGTGTGCTACTCTTAAAGCATTGCAGAACACTTTTTTCCCCTACAACTATATACTAGTTGCTATTTTAGGGGTAGCGATCTTGCCACTCACCCCACCTCCCAACTTCTCCTATAGCTCCCCCACAGCTAGAGGCATTCACAGGCCTCCAGATCCATCTGATGTTCACTCCAGATTGCTCTAGAATACATTTTTCTTTCCTTTCCTGAAACAGGCCAACCCTGTAGGGATCCATACCAGAGCTTCACAGACTGTGGTCAAAACCACCACAGTGATAAACTCTTGTGTGTCTGTACGCAGTCACTAGCAATGGTCCTGCATTTCTGTAATAGTTACACCTATGAATGCTCAAGGAAGCATTTGGGAGCTGCAGGGCTCTCCAGGAGCTTTCTAACCTTCAGAAAGAAGTCAGAGGACTTGCAGGCATTGTCCTGGGGTTTCTCAGCACATGACTCCATATCCAGTGTTCAGCAACTTAACCATTTCAAGTTGAGATCATACTATTTCACGTATCAAAAGCGAAAGCATTAGCTTGACCTGTGGAACACTAGATTTTCCAACAAAATACAGCTGGAACCTTAAAACCTCCCTGAGAGGGGAGGTTCCTTCATGCAAGTTACCAAAACAAAAGTCAAGTCTTTGGTTTAAATAAAATGGAAGAAGCACTTATGATGTTGAAGCACAGCTGCTATCATGTCCAGTTACATCACAGAACTGGCAGGGTGCTTTGGCCAGTGCAGTGACAACCAATTCATCTGATGGTGTACTCCTTATGGGTCTCAACAGGTGGGAGGCAGGAGGGCTGCTTTCACAAAACCCTTAATCAATTCACCATCAGGCCTAGCCAGCAATTTACAGCTGAAGCAGATAGTCAAAGTTGTAAGTGCCAATACTATGTGTCACAGTGGTTTTTGGTTTGCTTTTGGTTGGTTGGTTGGTTTTAAACCTTTAGGGTCTTCCAAGTTTCCTATTACAATGCTAACAGCTGGTGGGAGTTATCTGCAATCAGGCTTCTCTCTGGCAACCTCTTTTCAAGCCTGGCAGAAAATTAAGATCTCAGTTCACTGATTATCCTTTCCTCCCCTTCCTTTACAAATGCAATCAATTACAAATCAGAATAACAGCACTTGCAGAAATTAGTGCAGCTGTCAGATAAATAGAGCCATAGAAATACACAGCTCTGCATATCACCCCATGTACAAAACACCAGTGCCACACCAGAACCTTTACCTGTGAAATTAAGGGCAAACAAATCTTATTCACCCCCAGACTGTTGTTCACTAATACAGACTATGGGCTGGCAAAAGCTATCCACAAATCACCAGGCAAATCACCAACATCTGTCAGGAGCAAGAAGGGTATATGCAGTCCTCACACAGTCACATATGGGCACAGAACACGATCCCACACATACACACCTTGTTTCTGTGCAGTTTGCAGAACTGAGCTGCAAAAGGTGGGCAGTACTTGCTTTCTTTGGGAGGAGGGGAAGGGT